ATATATAGCAGGTCATGCCATAGGCCTTTAGATTTGGTGGGCCAACACGGTACGACAAGACACGAATTTTTGTGGGCCTTGGCATGACCCATGGCATAATAGGCCTTATATTTTTAGGCACGGCACGGTCCACCGCCGGCTATAGCTTTAGGTAACCAAATCTGTCTAAGAGAAATATGAGCAGCATAAAGAGGCCTAATCGCTTTCTCCTTCTCCATTATTCTCAAGCTTTTCTTGCAGGCTTTCCATCCGATGTAGTACTCCCCCAACTCTTATCATTCAATGCCCCAATATCAAACACATCATATACCTCTATGGCAGCATATATCTTCATTGTGAATGAAAAATCCAGCTGAGTAGAACTTGAAGAAACTCGATAGGCTTACAATTATAACAAGACCTCCAAGCACAATCTGAAGCCAACCCATTATTCTTCCCAATCTACATTTTGGAAAGCACGATCTCCCCATCTTTGCTTCTCTTTTTGCTAGATGTTGCTTTTTTCTCTTCTTCTTCTCAGAGTTTCAACCTAATCAAAGATCATTTTTGAAGCATAAAAACACAAAGATATCTAAAACTCTATCATCAAATCCGAGTACATGCATCCAAGCCACAAAAATGAAAACAAAAACAGATAAAAGAAACAATGTATGTAAAGGCTAAGATTCACTAATACTCATGAAAACAGAAAGAACAACACCAAAAATTATATACTGCATTTGTGTTGAAACCCTAATCAAGAATGAAAATCTGAAAACAAAAACAGTATCCTCTATTCTTAATAGCTCTGCAGTGAACGAAATAGAGACAACAACAGGAACAAAATATAATAGTAAAACAAATCAAACAGTAAACAAAGAAAATAATATGCGCGATTTACCCTGATTCACCCAATGTGGGCTACGTCCAGCTGAGTCAATATTATTGCAATATGCCTCACCTCTCTCGTTTACAATAGATGAATTGCTCTCACACACATAACAAGAGAAAAGTATGATTATATACTAGGTTTAAGAGATTAAACCTAGTTTTACAAGGATTCCTATTCCTAAGCCCTACCCAAAAAGGAATTAGTAACTTAAAAGAAATCCTACATCGGTTATACATGGAAAAGCCCAAAACCGCCTACGGGACCCCCGAGTGCGTCTCCGTTACCCATTAATACTGAAGTAGTCGACAACTCCAACATTCTCCCACTTGGCGAATACTTCACACAATGAAGGCCTACCTCATCAACACACCATGTAAACTTTGCTAAGCTCACAGCCTCGGTAAGAAAATCTGCATCATTAACAAGTGTATCAACCTTCTCTAACAACACCAATTTTTCCTCTATCTTTTGCCTGATGAAATGGTATTGTATGTCAATGTGTTTTGATCGCGAATGAAAGGCAGGATTCTTGGCTAAGTAAATAGCCCCTTGATTGTCACATCCAATCTTCACAGCATCAAGCTTGAAACCAAGCTCTAAAAATCAATCTTCGAAGCCAATAGCTTCTTGCCACATGTGTCAATGCCATGTATTCTGCCTCAGTCGATGACAAAGTACAGTACTTTGCCTTTTACTCACAACAAACAGCCACACCAAATAAGAGAATACATACCCACTTATGGAACGCCTACTATCGAGATCACCTCCCAATTAGCATCCACAAAACCTATCACATCTAGCTCATCCCCAGTCGCCAGCCTCCATAACATAATGATAAATCCGAGGTCCCACGAAGATATCTAAGAACCCTCTTACAGCACTCCAATGCTCCTTACCAGGATTTGACATAAAACGACTCAAAACTCCCACTGCTTGTGCAATATCGGGTCGTGTGCACACCATGGATACATCAAACTACCTACAGCACTTTGCATACGACACATGGTCATTTCTTCAGCATCTTCCTCAGACTTAGGGCACTGATAGTAGACAGTTTCACTCCCAAAGTCATAGGAGTCTTCACAGGTTTGCAGTCTACCATGTTAAATTCTAACACCTCTTCGATGTACTTCCTCTACCCTAACCACAATTACAACTCTAACGATCTCTAGTAATTGCATACCCAAAATAAATTGTAGCCCCAAGATTCTTCATGTCAAATTGTGTAGCAACAAACCCTTCACAGAATTTATCAACTCCTTGCTATTCCCATCAACAACATATCATCTACATATAAGGTTAAAATAACAAAGACATTTTCTAACCTTTTTATGTACACACAGTGATCCACGTTGCTGCGGCTAAAACCATGTTGAAGAACATAGGAGTTGACTTTTGGTACCACATCCTTGGTGATTGTTGTTAGTGTATATAGTGTATGCCCTAGAAACCATTCGTGTTGTCGGTTTCGAGCATTTTGTCTTGTATCATATATATATAAAAAAATAGAGAAAGAGTTCTCAATTCATATATGTAAATGCTTCCTTTATTCCGTCATGCATTTAAAATAAAGTATGTATATGAATGTCCAGATGATTCATTTATAGGTAAATGAATTATCGAAAAGGGTTCCCTACAGAAGCAATATAAATTGGGCAACTATATTGTACAGTAGGCATACTGGATGCTTCCGAAAGATATCATGAGTGATATAAGAACGGATGACGATGATAGTCATGTCACTGGGGCATTGGTATGGATTAACGGTTGGTGAACTGTTTTTCGAACGTGACGAATAACGACAAATCACTTGGAAAAAGCATGTAGTCAATGATTTATCGTTTGGTTATATCAGTGCACGATGTAGTCCTTTGACCTGAGACATTGTAGTCGGATCTGATATGGATGCGTATGGTATACGGTGTAAAGTACGAGACTAATCGTGTTTCGTACATAAAGCCTATTGGTCATGCGTTGTTCATATGCGAAAACGAACGATAGTCAATAGGGGATCCATTGACTCGGAAATATAGGATCGGAGAGTACCGCTGACTCATCCGGATCGAGTTCCTAGACGAACACGATAATGTCGAAAAACTGAATCTCTGGCCAGAGTCTATTATTGTCATACAAAAGTAAGTTTGTGATGACAAGTTCCGGACATATGACGACAATCGGTAGAAGATCGAGTTTGGATTTTAACGTTCCATGAATCCATACTCGATAGGATATCTCATGGAGGGACTTTACCTGTATGGTACGTATGATCTGAATGGTTTGATGAAGTATTTTTCAGTGGTTTGGGACTATGGCACATTGCTAGTGGTTTACCGTAGTCGTTGGGCCTCGGACAGGTTTTCGGATTCATCCAGAACCGGTTCACGGCTAATCCATGGTGGCACACATGGTCACACCAATAGCCTTGGAAGTTAGAGAAGGATAAGAGAGAGAAATGATATCCGAAGAGGGCTAGCACCTTCCGAGGGTAATAACGGGATTTCTATAGTAATAGTTACATAGAAATCATTTGTGACATTTTAAGGGTTAAAATGGTCAAGCAATAATAATTTTTAATTATTATATCTTAAAGTGTTAAGATTAATGAGATGAACAAAAATAACCTTTTAATAGTTAAAGGGTAAAAAGGGGTAAATTTTGGGTTGAATGTAAACTAGTTAGTTTACATGGGTCCTTGAATATATTGATTATTCAAAGGGTAGCATATAAATTGTGGGGTCCCTTTATAAAATAAGATTTTATTGGGCTTGGAAGTGAAAAATAAATAATTGCAAAATTGCCCAAGTATATATAAATGCAAAAGGTTGCATTTTTGTTCATAACACACATTGTTCACTCAAAGCAAAACCAAAACTCTCTCTAAAAGCCACGACCACTCTCTAAACCTCTCAAGGTGGTGTTAAAGTGTGGAGGTCTCATTACTTTGAGGTTGATCTTCATCAATCCAAAGCAAAGGAGTAGGTATAATCTCTTTTCCAAGCTTTGTTTGAAAACCGGTTTTTAGAATCCATGCTTTCATGCTTTCATTCTCCATCTCCACCACTCTTCATGCATGCTAATTCTTTCAATTGTTTGAGCCCATACAGAGACTTCCTCAACCTACACACCAAGTCCTCCTTCCCTTTACATACAAACCCCTCAGGTTGCCTCATGTAAATTTCCTCCTCTAAATCTCCATGTAAGAATGCCGTCTTTACATCAAGTTGCTCAATTTCAAGATCAAATGTAGCAACAATAGATAGAACATACCTGATTAATGTTAACTTGGCCACAAGAGAGAAAATCTCACTATAATCAACACCCTCAATCTGCGAGAATCCCTTTGCAACGAGTCTCGCCTTATACTTTGCAATTGTCTCATCTGCCTGCAACTTTCTTTTGAACACCCACTTGCAACCAATTACCTTTCTATCCTTAGGCAATTTATATAGGATCCATGTACTATTCTCCAACAATTATGGGATCTACTATCTCCTCAAGCCTATTCTTTCCAAAGTATTTCTTCACAAGAGCCAAAAAAGATAAATTTTCATCTTCAGTTTCAGGACCAGAATGACAACCTACTCTCTGTCCTGTCAAAAGAATAAGAAGATTCTGGCTAACAAGAAGCGACAACAAAAATAATAAAAACAAATTAAAAATGTATTTATTTCCACTGGATGTAAACATTTATCATGGAATGATTTTGTGGCAGGAGCTTACAACGATGAAGCATTAGTTCTGCCCAATTTTGGTCTCTAGACTTTATGCCACATCTGGTGAATAGATGGTCTAGATTTGACATTGTATATAATTATCCAGAAATAGATGGTCTAGATTTGACAACATATATAATTAATTTGCAAGTAGGATTCTTTCTTAACTATAAAATGGTGAATAGATGGTCTAGATTTGACAATATAATTATCTAAAAACAGAGTTAAGTCTGCTTGATCAATAAGCCAAATGTGGTGGCCTTTTAAGTATATAACATCCCGGCGTACTATAAATATATTGTAGATTTATCTCTTACCCATCTCAAATAGTGGGTCTCAGAACGCGTCCCCTTCGATGCGAACCCACCTCAAATAGTGGGTAAAAGAAAAATTACAGTATCTTGACAATAAACTGGAATGCTAAGTTAAGCCTCTTATGTTTTGTCAAAAATCATAATTTTGTCCTTCTGTAGTTATAGAGACGCTTGGCTTTCTTTGGAAAGCTGACATTTCTTCTATAGAAATAGAGACAATATATATATATTACAAGGGCATCCTCAATCTTCATAAATGCATGAAAATTTACATCTTTGTAATAATGAGTACATAAATTAAGACATTAATTGACAAGTAGAATTATAAATGTGCCTAAGTTGTTTTGCTACATCAATCATTGTTGGCCTGTCTACGGCTGAATCAGAGAGACATTTAAAGGCAAGCTCTGCAAATGCTTGCAATTGCTCTTCTTTTTCGGGAGATAGTCCAGAACCAACAACTATGGGATCAACTATCTCAGTAAACCTCTCTTGATCAATGTATTTTTTCACAGCATGCTCCAAATTCCAATCAAGACGAGTTTCAGTAATCCAACTGGGAGGCTCATGTGTTTTGAGACCTGTCAAAAGCACAAGTAGCAAAACACCAAAGCTATAGACATCCACCTTTTCATTAAATCTCGGTGTTGTAAAACGCTCGGGTGCAAAAAATCCCCCTATTCCTATAATCCTATCCTTTGATTCCTCTATGTGAGTTTCACCTTCTGGCATGGATATGGAGTTTGAAAAATCACACAATTTGGCAACATATTTTTCATTGAATACAATAGTAAATGGACTGATCATTCTAAAAACAATGGGTCGAGGGAACTTGAAATGGAGATATGCAATTGCATTAGCTAACTCCATAGCAATCTTTAACCTATGTGTCAATAACAAAGGCTCAAAGTACGGTTCACGTGAACGATAAATATGATTAGCAAGAGTCCCATACTCCACAGATTCAAAAACTAGAATGTGAACTTCAGACTCTAAACAACATCCAATCAACTTCAAAATATTTTTGTGACTCATTTGCGATGCAAATACAATGCTATTAATACCAAATGCGGCTTGATCATAGAAATCAGGTGAAAACTTCATAACAGAAACGGGTCGATCTTGTAGAAAACCTTTGTATAATGAATATATGACCTCCTTTGTTATAATTTTCTGTTGATCATAATTGTTTGTTGCTATCTTGATCTCTTTATCAGTGAAGCTACGGATTGGATTATATTTACCATTAGAAGACGCAATTAACTCTTTCAATAAAATCTTACCATTCAACAGAAATCTTTCCTGTTTCTGCCTTTTGCTTCCTTTCAAGAATGAGCTCATCATCTAACCTAAAAATGCATAAATTAAACTTGTCATTAACAATTAAGAAAACTAAATCCATTAGCGGATAGACACAGAAAAAAAAAATTGAAAAGCTGGATATGTAATTTACCAGTGTGATTGATGAAATATTCAAGTATCAGGCAAGATAAAGAACAACGCCCGCGAGGCTTGAGTTTGAGAGAGTCTTCTGATCTTCTTCCTCAACTATCTTGATCAATTTGTTTAATTTACATTCATCAGTTCATTTATTGACGAGAAAAGTTGACCCACTAGGAATCTGAAATTTCCACAACCAAGATAAGGAAGCTTCCTTTGCTTTGACCAGATTCATCTGGTTGTTATTTGAACAGCCTAGTGTTAGTGGGGTCTAGGTGTCAAAATAACGCGTCCTACCATTTAGCTTAGCGGAATGTGCAATGTCTTACGTAAATGGGACCCTATGTCTATCAATAAAGATATCAAAATTTCCTCAAGTTCGAAGTTGTGAGTACCTTTGAATTAACTTACTGCGAGAATTCCCAAAAAGTATTATAAAAATATAACGTTTGATTTAACACTCCATAGATAATATTGTAAAAGGGTGTTTGGCTGAGATTATTGGAATTATGAGATTATCATATTTGGTTAACAAATAACATAAGATTTTGATAATCTTTAAATATTAATTGTCGTTATTGTTAGTAATATTGGAAGTAATCTGATTACTTTTGAGTAATCTTTTTTTATTACAATTCTATTCCTTATTAATAAAATTTTATGACAATAATACCTTTATTTTTAAATTTATTTACATAAATATAGTTTTTACTATTTTACCCCAACTTATTAATTTTTTAGACAAAATTATCTTTGAATTCAACACAAATTGCAACTCACCCAAGCTATCACCCCCACCCACCCACTTGCAGCCATCGAAACGGCGCACAAAAGGCCAAAAATGGCGGAAAATTACTTGGATGTGTAGATTAGCTCCAGAGCATCTTTTGGTATCAATTTTGTTGTTGGATTCTCTCCAACGATGGAAGCCGGTTATCGGCAACGGGTCATCGGCAACCAATTGTCAATTTAAATATTCACCAATTATGAATTTTTTTAATTTAATTATTAATGGAGGTAATATATTTCAGAATATAGTGTAAAAGCTATGCGTATTTAATAGTAATATAAGGATGAATTAGTAATTTAATTGGATCTTTATTATCATTATTTTCATATTCAAATTTAAGTAACAATTGTTAACTTTTTTAATGCAGAAAAAACAAATAATCTAAACACCTGAAATTGTTTAGACATAAGTGGAAAGTAGTGAAAACAAATACATTTATTAATATATGTAATGCTTGGAAAAATAGGGCTGATGTAGAGCCCTGTCAGCATAAGTGGCCACAACTTAGGTAAATATAGCAGCCATTTAGACGAAGCCGCATCACACGCTGACACAAGCGGCATGTTCCTACCAATGCAGTAGATGTGCGCCAGGTTGATGAAAGGCTGGGGGCGATCCACGTGTCCAATCCCTACAAGATTCAAGTAAATCACTCGAGTACGTGAATAATGGGACGCAAGGAAAAATTTGCGCAGCAATCTGACCTACTCCCTGATTTAGTAATCATTATCTCAATTCATCCAACTATAAATAGAGGGTTCCTCTCCCGTCTGAGGGATTAACTAATTTCTCTCTGGAATATATATATATATATTCTCTCTCTCTTGTAACCTCTTGTAAGTCAGCTCGCGGGACGCGACCTGATCTCTAATATATCAATACAATTCCAGTAGACATAGGATTCACTTGTTTAAGCATCCGAACCACATTAAATACCGTTCTTCATCTTTTACTCAGTTCAATACTCTCATTCACGTGTGTCTTCTAGGTCAACTCAATATTTTATACATGCGTTTAGTTGGTATCAAAATCATGTATCAACAATATATATTATGCGAATTGACAAAAATCTCTTTTTATTGTTAAAACTAACGTCTGAATTTAACAATTTTAAAGTTTATGAGTGAGAAAATTAATTAAGGTAAACTTTGGGTGGCAACATGTCATTAATTCACCCAGAAAGCATTATTTCCCAATTCCTCTCAAGCACGTTTGCTATGCTTTTGTAAGTGGAATTAATGACCCACCAATGTGTCTGTAAAGAATCGACTTATCAAATTAAAAGAAAAGATTAAAGGCCACACCGGCAGTTGTAGAGATAATTTACAATAAAGAAAAAAGATCGGAGAAACCCTTTTTTCTTGTTTTAATTGTTAGATTTATGGTAAATCATATTCTTTAATCAGCTTCTTTTCTATCCTTTTGAGGAGAATTACCCACCATGCTCGCCACAACCTTGTTTAATTTAAAAGACGACAGAAATTTAATGCATTTAAGAACACCCTAGAAGTAGAAGCTATTAATTTTGATGTACCAAGGGGAGAGAAGATCAAACTTATCATCTTTCAAGTCATTCAATAATAGAATTCACTTTTACTGTTTCATTTTATTCAATATTATAAACTTATCTCAAATGATATGATTTTGTAAAGGTGTTTGATATTTTTAATGGGGTTTAATATTTATAGGGTTGTTTTAAATCATTTCTAAGAAATAAATGATTTGTTGAAGAGTAAAATACAGTTGCAAAAGAGGTGTTTTGAAGAGAATGTATCTTCGTGTATATTACTTATCAATTCTGGAGTTCTACAATGTTTTATACTTACACAGTAACTCAACATAATTAACTATAGTTAACATCTAACCAAAGTTTATCTTAACAGTAAACTGACTTCCAACTAACTCTACTGCAGAATTACTCTACTGTTAGAAGATCAGCAGGCTGTTCTGAGGATGGAACATAAGCAGTTTTGATCATACCTATCTTGAGTTGTTCCCTCACAATGTGGCAATCAATGTCAATGTGTTTGGTCCTTTCATGAATGATGGGATTGATGCAATGTGGTTGGCAGCTTGATTATCACAGTAAAGGGGAACAGGAAGTAGACTAGTGAATCCAAGTTCAGTAAAAAGTTGTATGAGCCAAAGAATTTCACACACAGTAGAGGCCATGGCCCTGTACTCAGCTTCGGAAGAGGACTTGAAAACAGTGGCCTGCCTTTTAGACTTCCACGAAATTAAGGATTTGCCAAGGAAAATGCAATAATCCGTAACTGATTTCCTTGTCATGAGGCAAGATGCCCAATCCGAGTCACAAAAGGCTGATAAATCCATATGATTCTTAGTTGGGAAAAATAAACCCAAACCTAGAGCTGTCTTGATGTATTTAACTACCTTAAGGGCTGCATTCATATGTGATTGCTTGGGATTATGCATGAACTAACTTAATAGATTGACAGAAAAACTCAAATTTGGTCTTGTCATGCATAAGTATAACAGCTTACCCACTAACCGTTGATAGATGCTATGATCAGCAAGTAGTGGATCATTGCCAAAAGGAAAACATTCATCATAAGCAGTAGATGTTAACTTCAAAGTGGACTCCATTGGAACTACAGAAGGTTTAGAGTTAGATAACCCAGATTCAGATATGAGCTCAAGAGCATATTTGACACAAATTGATCACTTTACACGATCTAGCCACCTCAAAACCCCAAAAATATTCAGCATCCCTAAATTCTTCAGCTTAAAATTAGACTGTAGAGGCTTCTTGGTATGATGGATCATATCAATGTTGTCCCCTGTGATGACAATGTCATCCACATATACTAACACTAACACAATGTGAGAATCAATTCTTTTAATGAACAAAGAATAATCAGCCTTAGATTGAGTGAAACCTCCAACAATTAAAGCTTGTGTAAGCTTATAATTCCAAGCTTTAGAAGCTTGTTTTAAACCATAAAGTGACTTGTGCAACTTACAAACAATATTTTGCACCATCTTTTTGCTGCCCCCCCCCCCCCCCCTCCCCTCCCTTCTCTGCTTTGCAAAACCTTGAGGTAGATTCATATAGATTTCCTCTTGTAAATCACCTTGTAGAAATGCATTGTCAACATCCATTTGGTATAAAGGCCAATTATACATAGAAGCTAGGGATAAAATGGTTCGAATGGTGACCATTTTGACCACAAGAGAAAAAGTTTCTGCATAATCAATGCCAGCTTTTTGAGTGTATCCCTTAGCGACAAGCCGAGCCTTATATCTTTCGAAAGAACCATCAGCTCTATACTTGAGCTTATAAACCCATTTACAACCAATTGGAGTCTTACCAAGGGGTAAAGGTACTAGAGACCAGGTTTTATTTAGCTCTAAAGCCTGTGTTTCTTTTTGCATTGCAACCACTCAATTAGGATCTTGAGATGCTAAAGAAAAGGATGAAGGTTCTACTAAATGTTTAGTTGTGAAGTAAGCTTTGTAAGCAGAGGAAATATGATCATATAACACATAATTGGAAATAGGATATGATGTAAAATTGGTTGTAGGGGAAGGTTTGATAGAGGGACACATGAAATCTGTGGTCCAAATGGGAGGTCTTGTAGGTCTATTGGATTTTCTGATGGGTGGTAAATGCTGGTGAGAAATAGGGGAATGATGCTGGTCATTTAAAAAGGCAGTATGAGGTACTGTAGGGTCTGAATTTGGGTGAGAAACGAGGGAATGATGTTTGCCATTTAAAGAGGCAGTATGAGGTGCTGTAAGGTCTAAAGTTTGGTGATGAGTACGGGAATTAATATGGTCTATAGGTTCTGAATTCTGGACAGGTATAACAGAAGAGGTGGACTCAATATCAAGGAAATCTGTATCAATGGGAAAAGGTTTTTGTGTAGATTTGGACCAAGTGAAAGGAAATATTGTTTCATGAAAAATAACATCTCTTGTAACTATGACACTATGAGATGAAAGGTTATAGAGCAAGTATCCTTTTTGAGTCAAGGAATAACCCAAAAACACACAAGGATTAGATCTAGGTGATAACTTGTCTTTAGAGGTGAGGATGGTAGCATAAACAAAACAACCAAATACTTTTAGGTGATCCAATGAAGGAGGTTTACCAAAAAATTTCTCAAAAGGAGATAACCCTTTTAAAATGGAAGAAGAAAACCTATTAATAAGATACACCGCTGTTTGCACACAATATCCCCAAAAATGACTTGGCATGTTAGATTGAAACTTTAAAGCTCTAGCTACTTCAAGAATATGTCTATGTTTCCTCTCAACAATCCCATTTTGTTGAGGAGAATAGGCACATGAACTCTGGTGTATAATTCCTGTGCTAGTAAATAGATCATGACAAGCTTTATTAAAGAATTCAAGACCATTATCACTCCTAATACATTTGGGAGTAAAATGATATTGGGTATGTACCATTTGAAGAAAATGTTTGATGGTAGTAAACACATCAGATTTATACTGCATTAAAAATAACCAGGTTACTCTAGAATAGTCATCCACTAGGGTAAGAAAATACCTAGCATTTCCTTGTGTTGGTATCCTATATGGACCTTAAACATCGACATGTAATAGGTCAAATATGCGGCTAGAATTTGAGTGACTGTGAGGAAAATGAACCCTGGTATGTTTGGCTAATGGGCAAACATGGCAGTGAGGAGGGTTAGACACATGTAGTTGTCCATTCATATGATGCAAAATTGTATAAGGAGCATGCCCTAACCTTTGGTGCCGCAATTCAATAGTAGTAGAATAATTGGTAACCATAAAAGAACCAGGTGAATCAACACTTTTATTCAACTGTAAATTGAAGGGTACATTATTGTTTGAACAAGACACTGCTAAAAATTGATTTGAAACACTGCAAACAACCTTATTTGATACATCTAAGTTTGACAATATAGAGTTTTGTGACATTGGATCAAGAAAGTACAAGCCTTGATTATGCTTACCAATCCCCTTTAATTTGCCATTGTAAAGATCCTAAATTAGACAGAAATCAGGGTAAAAATTGATAGCACAATTATTAGAGACTGTAAATTTTGAGACTGAAAGTAGGTTGTGTTTAAAGGCTGGTATATGTAAGACTTTTGAAAGGTGCATACCATTGTCCAAAATAACAGAACCTATATGTGCAATGTGAGTTTTAGTTCCATCGGGTAATCCTACAAGTGATTTTGTGGAAGGCTTTATGGTAATAGGGGATTGTATCATGGAGTAATTACATGTCATATGATCAGTAGCCCCTGTATCTATAATCCAAGCATTACTATTTAAATAGGAAAATAGAGCATTATGAGTAATATTGAAAGTACCTGCCAGATTTGCAACTGAAGAATCCGAAGGATTAACATTCTCCTTTCCCAACAACTACAAAATGTGGTTATACTGCTCCAATGTCAAAACAGGACCAACTGATGTATTGATAGGTTTTGCATCTGCATCTTCCACAGCTAAATTCTGCGCTTGCACCTTGTTAGGGCCAAAAATCGTCCTTGGTCCAAATAGGAAAATGGGCCTGACAGTGTACAAGAAACCAAGCCCAATCCCAATGCGATTCAATCCAGATTGGGCCCATTTGATTTGAGATACAGTCGACCCAAACCATCTGGGCACAAGCCTCCCACTCGCAGCTCACTTCCTGGACCTATAAGTGAGTTCAGAGCCCATGGCCCCTACAGATCACTTTCCTATTCCTGATCAATCTCCTATTCGAGGTCACTTTCCTGTTCGGGATCACCTTCCTATTCGAACACTGGTAAGACAGCTCACCATCGCCATAACTCCTCGAGGGTTCGTATCAAAGTCACACTAGGACTCCTACTCCCACCAAGGTTAGGAGATCAGATAGTCACTATATAAGCAGAGGTCAGCCCTCTCAGAAGACACATTACATTACACCTTCACACCTGAAGCTCTGACTTGAGAGCGTCAAGTCACCATCGTAGTCACAGTCCTCAACTAGACTTCCGGTAACCTCTTTACTCCCTAGCCCTCACTATACTAGCCATTTTCAGCCTTGTTGACTTGAGCGTCGGAGTGCCTACGACAAACACCGCCCTGATGTTTCTCGTTCGCTTCACGTGTTTGTTTCTCTACGTGTGCAAGTGCAGCGGATCGCTAGTGGCCTCAATCTCACGGGATCAGACCCCCCTTTCGTACAGGTAGATTTTTACGTCTACAATTTATCGCTTATCATGGGGCCTCTAGCAATCATTCAGCTCAACGAATCTTGCTACGTAGAGGAACATTCCATGGCTGACAATTCGGTCAACGCTAATCCTAGCCTCGAGGCTAGACTGTAGGCTCTGACTGCTCTTATGCAACAAATTTTAGATAAGGTGGCCGCACTAGAAGCCGAGAACAATGCAATATGGACCGAAAACTCATCCATCAGGGCAGAGAACCAGTCTCTCAAAGAGAAAGTGAGTCAATTCTATGATCTAGAGTTTCTGTTTGGACAGGTACCTCCCAATCGGTTCCATGCCCCTGTTCCACCCATGCAACCTCTCTCCACACTAGAGCATCGGCCCTCGGTCTCTAATAAAAGGTCGAATCCATTAAGCTCATCAGCGGTCGACGATTCTGTCTTGACTAATGAAGACAAAGATATGCCAACAAAACACAATTCAGCCGATCTATCCCAGCCTTGAGATCAAGACGATCTAGTGACAAAAAGCCCGCATCCGCAAGACCAACCCATCTTTATCGTCCCACCTCACCTCCAGTTAACCACCCCAACACAAACCCTGTTCGGCTCGACTCACCCTCACGGGTTGAACGGCTAAACCAAACAAACTACAACACTCGAACCCTTCCATCCTGACAGGCCTAGTGACTATCAGACGACTCTCCTAACCATTCATGTAGGGCTAAACACCAGAACCGTTACCATGGGAGTCATCCAACTGGAGGGAATGAACGCAGATCCAGGCTACCAGGGAGTGCACGAAGGAATGACCCATTAGACTACACCGAGAGGGGTGACCCAACGGAATGTGCTGAGGACGAATATAATGGCAGACCCAGTCAAACGGGATGACCTAGTGGTATCCCCTTCTCCTACGAAATAGGTACTGGCCGAGAGGCTGGCTGATGTAGAGGCAGTGATGAGGCGCATCCCGAGAATGTTGGTCCCAACCAAGAAGAGCAGGCCTCACTGCTACACAGATTCACCCTTTATGGATGAGATCGCCCTGGCCGACATGCCCTAGAAGTTTACCATCCCCAAAATGAAGCTCTACGATGGCACAACCAACACGGATGATCATATAGTCTCGTACAAGCAGCGGATGTTCACTGTCTCAATACCCCAACTGTTGAGAGAAGCTTGCATGTGCAAAAGTTTCAGCTTAAGCTTATCCGGCCTAGCACTCCAATGGTACACGAATCTCCCGAACAGATCCTTCGACTCATTCGCTCAGCTCACCGACACCTTTGTGGAACAGTTTGCCAGCAGCAAGAAACTAGAGAAACTGTTGGCTAACCTATATAGAATATACCAGAAAAGGGGAGAGCCATTGAGAGAGTATGTCAGTGGGTTCAACAAAAAGAAGATCTTCATCGCATCATGTAACCCCGAGACAACTGTGGATGCCTTCAGGAAAAGACTCCTCCCAGACGGAGAACTATACAAAGAACTTACGAAGCTAGGTTGCACAACAATGGAAGATGCTCTGGCTCGAGCAGTGATCCAAATGAGATAGGAGGAAGATGATATAAACCGAGCAACTCACACCAGGTATGACCCAAAGCGGAATGATAGGAAGCCAGAGCACAGACTAGTGGAACACCGCTACCAATCCCTAGCACGTAATACGGGTAGAGTCAAAAAACTGTATGATCGCCAGCCAACGAGAATCGATAACAGACAGTTCGGATCGAACCGATACAAAATACCGGAGTACAACCTCAACGTCGAACAAACCTAGATCATCGTAATTATGAAAGGAATGGGACCCACCGTTAAGTGGCCAGGCAAGCTCAATCCCGAGGCAAGGAGGGATACGACCAAGTGGTGCAAGTTATACGGCGACTATAGGCATAACACCACAGACTGCATTGCCTTGCGGCTAGAGGTCGGTGCACTTCTGAAGAGGGGACATCTCCGAGATCTGTTAACAGATAAAGGGAAAAATACCATTAGCCAGAAAAATCAAAAGAACCATCACCACCCCTGCGGGAACCCAAATCGAAGGGGTTCTGTTCGCTCATCTCCAGAGGATCAGAGATCAGTGGGGTAAGCTATTCATCAGCCAAGCGGTATGCCAGAGCTAACCACCACCGTGAAGTCCAGTCCATCCATCCGGTCTCACGGTCACATGCTCATCAGGTGATCCAATTTGAAGATGACGAGTCGGTCACCTTGGCCACTCCTCATCACGATGCTCTAGTTGTTTCCCTGCAGATTGCCAACATCCTAGTGAAGAGAGTATTCGTAGATGGAGGCTCTTCAGCAAACATCCTATTCCTTGAAGCAGTGAAGGTTATGGGACTGGAAGAAGCAAACATCAACAGGCGGCTGACACTGCTGGTTGGGTTCAGCTCTGAGCAGAAGTACACCATTGGGGAGATCATCCTTCCTATCTACGCCGACGAAGTAAACAAACAGACCATCTTTCTGGTGATTGATTGCCCCTCTCCCTAAAATGTCATCTTGGGCCGACCTTAGATCTACAACATATGGGCAATCCCGTCTACCTTCCACCAGACGATCAGGTTTCTAACCAAGTGGGGGGTACGAGAGCTCAAGGGTGACCCCAAAGCTTCCAGAGATTGCTACAAGAACACCTTCAAGGGCAAGGGCAAGGGCAATTCTTCATAGCAATTACAGTCTCATCCAACCCCTCCAACCGAGCTGGATCAACCATTCATGGAAGAGTTGGATGAAGTACAGATACACTCGGACAACCTTGAAAGAAAGACACACATAGGGTCCCGCCTCAAGCCTGAGACAAGAGAGAAGCTGATAGAATTCCTCAAACAGAACTAGGACTGTTTCACCTAGTCCCACGCCAATATGACCAGAATTAGTCCAGACGCAATGGTCCACCAGCTCAAGGTAGATCCGAATCACCCACCAGTGAAGCAGAGGAGGAGGAAATTCGCACCTGAGCAGAACCGAATCGTCAATAAAGAAATTGAAAAAACTCCTGAGCAATGGCATGATCAGAGAGGTCCACTACCCCGAATGGCTGGCAAACGTCATGGTCATAAAGAAAAAAAAGGGGAAATGGAGAGTCTGCATCGACTTCACTGACTTGAACAAAGCCTGCCCCAAGGATTCTTTCCCGCTCCCACGTATCGACATGATGGTAGATGCAACCACAGGCCACGAGCTCCTTAGTTTCATGGACGCCTTCTCAGGGTACAACTAGATCTTGATGCACCCGGACGACTAAAAGAAGACAGCCTTCATCACAGAGAAGGGAATCTACTGCTACAAGGTATTGCCGTTCAGTCTCAAGAACGCCGGGGCCACCTACCAGTGGCTAGTTAACAAGATGTTCTCCAAGTACTTCGGAGACACTATACAGGTTTACATCGACAACATACTCATTAAGTCCCTGATTGTAGAACAACACCTCAACCACCTTAGCCAAGCATTCGCCGTCCTCTGGAAATACAACATGAAGCTAAATCCGACTAAGTGCTCATTCGGCGTCTCATCAAGTAAATTCTTGGGCTATATGGTTACACAGCGAGAGATAGAAGCCAACCCCAACCAGATCAGAGCGATCCTTAGCATACCATCTCTGACTTGCATCGAAAACATCCAGTGCCTGGCAGGATGAGTGGCCGCCTTGAGCCACTTCATCTCTAGATCCACCGACAAGTGTCATCTCTTCTTCCATGCTCTCAAGAAGTCCAAGAAGTTCAAGTGGACCACCTCCTACGAAGAAACCCTGTAACAGCTGAAAAGGTATCTGACCTCCCCTCCACTTCTTTCCAAACCTGTGGATAGGGAGAAACTCTACTCTTACCTGGCGGTCTCAAAGACAGCTATCTCAGCAGTACTAATTCGGGAAGAAGAAACGAAGCAGTTACCGGTCTACTATGTAAGCAAGTCACTCCTTGAAGCACAAACTCGGTACAGTCAGTTGGAGAAACTGGCCCTTGCCCTCATCCATGCATCCAGGAAGCTTAGACCATACTTTTAATGCCACTCCATAGTTGTAATCACCTCCTTCCCACTCAAGAAGATACTGCACAAACCAGAGCTATCAGGCTGACTCATGCAATGGATAGTAGAGCTCAGTGAGTTCGACATATCCTACCAGCCTCACACCGCCGTCAAGTCCCAGGCGCTAGCAGACTTCATCGTTGACTTCACACCGAGCACCACCACCTAAGCAGAAAGGGAATTGTTATGCATGAATGATGGGCCACCCTCCAAGTGGACTCTCCTAGTGGATGGCTCGAGTAATGTGAATGGAAGCGAACTCAGAACAGTACTGATTGCACCAGAGGGAGACATTATCCAGCGAGCAATCTGGTGTGGGTTCAAGTGCACGAACAACGAGGTCGAATATGAGGCTCTCATCGCTGGACTTTCCTTAGTCAAAGAAATTGAAGCGAAGAGACTAGAGGTGAAGTCTGATTCCCAACTCGTGGTCAATCAACTACAAGGCACATATCAAGCACGCGACTCGAAGATTACATCCTTCTTGAGCATGGTCAAAGCGCTGTAGGCCCAATTCGAGGAGTTCTCTATCGTCCAAGTCCCCAGAGCAGAGAACTCTCATGCTGATGCCTTTGCCAACCTTGGCTCAGGACTCAAATGTTCTTCCCAGTCATCCATCCCTCTCTTATTCATGCAGTGGCTAGCCAACTAGAAGGAGCAACCACTAAACAAGCTACCCGAGGAAGCCATGGGTGTTGAACTAACCGACTGCTGGATGACCTCGATAGTAAGATACTTAGAACACGATGAACTCTCAGCTGATAAGAACGAAGCACGCCGACTAAAAGCAAGAGCAGCCAGATTCACCATACATGAGGGCCAACTCCTTAGAAAGTCATTCTCGGGCCCTTATCTCAAGTGCACAAGCCCAGAGGAGACCCAAAGCGTTCTCGCCAAACTCCATGAAGGCGAATGTGGAAACCATGCTAAGGGACGCAGCCTTACACACCGGGTGATCACTACTGGATATTATTGGCCAACCATACGCATCGACTCGGCCATTTATGTGAAGAAGTGTGACAACTGTCAAATGTTTGCTCATGTCTCACACCTCCCACCAGAGCGACTCCACTCAATCCTCACACCCTGGCCATTTATGAAGTGGGGAATGGACATAGTGGGAAAACTACTGACTGCACCCGGGCAATGAGTCTTCATGTTAGCAGTGACCGACTACTTTACCAAGTGGATCAAAGCCGAAGCCTTCGCACAAGTCAGAGACCGAGAGGTTAAAGCTTTCATCTGGAAGAATGTCATCTGCAGGTTTGGAATACCGAAGGAGATCGTCATCGACAATGGATCCCAATTCATCAGCTCAGGCTTTAGGGATTTCTGTGATATGTGAGGAATAAAACTAAGCTTCTCAACCCCCCGCAACCCCCCGCAACCCCCAGTCTAACGGCTAGGCCGAGTCGTCAAACAAGACCATCATTCAGACACTAAAGAAGCGGTTACAGTAAGCTAAGGATGCATGGGCAGATGAGCTACCAGAAAACCTTTGGTCATACTGAACCACGGCTCGCTTGTCAATGGGCGAGACCTGCTTCTCCCTCACATACGATTCTAAAGCAGTCATCCCAGTCAAAGTATCAGTCCTGTCCACCAGGCTCCAATGGGCAGATGAGGAATCGAACAACCAGAACCTTTGCCAAAACTTGGACACCATCGACAAGTTACGCGAACGGGCGAGCATCCGCAATGCAATCTATCAGCAATAGGCCGCCCGACACTATAACCACAACTTGAGGATCCGGACTTTCAGAGTAGGCGATTAGGTCCTTCACAGGGTCTTCCAAAACACCAAGGAAATCAACTCTGGCAAACTCGGCCTTCCCTTTCAGAGTAGGCGATTAGGTCCTTCACAGGGTCTTCCAAAACACCAAGGAAATCAACTCTGGCAAACTCGGCCCTCCCTGGGAAGGCCCCTACAAGATAACCAAAGAAGCAAGGAAGGGCGCTTACAAACTCCAGACACCAAAAGATATCAGTAACAGTTGGAATGTCATTCACCTCAAATGCTACTACTTCTAGGCGAACTTATCTTTTTTCTATTTTCCTTTAAAAAAAAAAAAAAGGATGAGTGGGTCTATCCACCTCTTCTTAGACAGTCGGCCTCATGGCCAAATATTAAAGAAGTATTATTCAGAAATTTTTCGTCTTCAAATCAACTCCAGTCGATCAATTGTTTGTAACACCTTCAGATCGGCCCTGCCCGATCCACGAAATCTCATCTTTGAATCGACTCTGCTCGATTCACGATAACACCTTCTGATCGGCCCTGCCCGATCTACGAAATCGCACCTTCGAATCGACCCTGCTCGATTCACAATAAAACCTTCAGATCAGCCCTACCTGATCCACCAATAACACCTTCGAATTGACCCCGCTCGATTCACGAAAAAACCTTCGAATCGACCCTGCTCGGTTCATGAAATCACCTTCGATCGGCTTAGCCCGATCCATGAATTTACACCATCAAATCGGCTCAGCCCGATCTATGACTCACACCTTCGAGTCGGCCCT